TGTAAATTACAGTATTATTTTTATTAATTTATTTATTAATGTAGATATCTCTTGGTATTAGAAAGAGAAATCAAGCCAACTTTATTTAAAGGCTTCAAAACAAGACTGATGCATTAATATTCCTGCTGTAGCCACCATTTGATTCCAAGGCAGTTATTCAAGAATACAGCATGGCTTAAAAGAGTGGTGCTTTAATGAATTGTTCTTGTGATTTTCCCTTTGTTTCATATGGTTTTTCCAGTTCTTAATGGTGTTTTGGTAACTTGTAGTAATTGAAGACAAATGGAAAAATTTCGTGATGCAAAACAATACGACAGAAGACATGTAAGGGAAAAGGGATGGGTGTCTCCTTAAGGGATGCATTTATTTAAAATCAGAACAGAAAAATAATTTCTCTTTTAAATAATTTATTTTCACTTGATAAATTAGTTCCAGATTGTGTGCAGGACAGTAAAAGACATGTTAAGGTGGTTAACAAGAGTGGGAACTAAAGTGGAGAACTGTGAGGATAAGTGGAAGAGCTGGGACTGCAAAGTTCATATTTAGCACAGCTGTGTGAACTCTTGTGTTTGGTACTGAGAGTAAATCACCAGTGCTTGGGTAATGCCAGACTGACACAGCACTGGGAGCCCCTCACAAGGGAGCTGTCCTTGGGATGCTGAGTGCAGCATCCCAACATCCCAGCTGTGCTGAAGGAGCCAAGTGGATCCAAGACGAGCAGCACACGTGGCAGTCTCGTGCTCAGAGATTTGTTAATGTGCTGATATCCCTCAGTTCAGAGAATTCAAGCGTCAGTGCAGGATGTGCTGGCATCTGGCAGTCCAGCTTCCTTGCAGAGAGCTTCAATCAGCCTGTTCCTTCTTTAAATTTGGGAGCAGAGGTGTGCATCCTTCAGTCTGACTGCAGCCCATGAGGTGATACCAGGTTCATACAGCCAGAGCATCCCAGCCCTGCAGACCCTGCTCAGGAGTTTGTGGGGCACTAAACATCAGACTTGAATTAATGCTGAAATCTCCTACTGCATACAAACGGACAGATTCCAAATTAAAGCCACAGGCTTTGCTTCTGTCCTTCTGGACTTGGCTGGGCATAGCTGAAAGAGGCAACACTCAGATAAACCCAGGTTCAGCACCTCCCCTGGCCTAGGTGCCAGATCTGTGGTGCTTATGTAAATGTGGAGATAAATCCGTGGAGTTCATTGATGATATTTTGATTTCAGCCAGGTGCAGTGGGTATGAGACTGAGACCAAGTACTCCTGAACTAGGCTGTCCATGTTTCTGGGGGAGCAAGCCCCAGCAGTGCCAGACAACAAAGGGATCAGACCATGGAGATCTTCATGGCGGGTTGGAAGGAGATGATTCTGGAGGGGGAGACACTCAATCTCCAGGGTGACCTTGGTACCCTGAGCAGTAACTCAGGAGAGAACTTGACCTGGAAAAACAAGGTGGATAAAGAGAGGACTGGTCTCAGCCCAGTGTCTGGCCACGGCTCCTCCACGTAGCTCCAGTGATGTTTTAGGGATGAAGAGTGAGAGGAAGGCTGTGCTGAGCAGGGAGGATTCCTGGTGTCTCAGTTCTGTTATCTCACTGAAGAGCCAGTGGTATTATCAAGACAAATAGGATGCCAAAACTTAAAAGTGAACATATGTTTATGGGGGTGGTGGGGAATACAGAGGTCACTGTTGTTTCTTTCTGCTCAGAGAAGACATAATGGGGCCTGGCTTAGATAAATTAAGATTTGGAACTAAGCTCGTGTCAAGACAACGCGAGTGTAATTATAAGTTGACTTCTGTCAGGGTCCCTGAAGTTTTTAGAGTCAAATAAAAATGTTCAGCAAGAGTTTTATAATGTAGTTCAACCGTTTTAATGTGAGCTGATTGCAGCTCAGCCTTGTTGGCTCCTAAAACTACTTTACTTTGATTTGAAAAATTTTCAGTGAGCTTCCAAATATTTCCATGTCATTTCAGTGCTCTGTTTCCTCTCTCTCTGGACTTCATTTATATTTTGCTATTTTTGATGTCTTTTTCCTCCCTTATTTCCTTATGCACCTGGGTGCTGGCATGCCTAATTATTTTTTTATTCCAGTTAAAGTTGTCACGGTGCTTTTTCTAAATTTTATTTTAAGATATAAAATATTTGCAGTGCTCATTTTTATAGACCTTTAAACCAGACAGATTGATTTATTTTTTTTAACAACTAAAACATAAAACCATATTTCTGCCTAGTGGGATTGTTTGGAAATCTGGTTTTGAATTTGAGGGCGAGAAAAGGTGTAAAATACCTGTGATTTACAAACTGCTTCCTTTGGAAAGTCTCTGATCTCCTTGCAAGATGTTATTTCAAATCTGGTTTATATTTCCATCACTCTATAACTGGTAAGGAGCAAATAAACCATACCTTCTATAATACTTAAAGAGAATAAAAGTACAAATGCTCTTTATTAAAATGTGGAAAAACTGTAATGGGAAAACAAATCCATCCTGTTATTTCCCAGAAATGGAAGCATTTTAAGTGCTTTGCTTTTCATAAAAGGGGCAAATGAATTTTTCAAAATACAGTACAGAATCAGTGCTGTAATGCTAATTGTATTTAATAATAGTAATTTAAATTTGGCTGCTCTCTGCCTAGCAGCAGCGAGAGAAAATTGTATGTGGGAACGTTGAAGTCCAGAAGTGTAACATATGGTGTAGTTTGGCCTTCAGAGAGTCTCAGTGCACCCATGAAACAGCTCGACTGCACACGGGTCCCTGGCGGTGGCCCTTCCTTCTCACCCCGTCCCCGAGCGGTGCCTGACACTCCCCAGCATGGATTTACACATCCCAGGGCCTCCCTCCTTTGGCACCTCGCTCCACAGGCTCATTTCAGCTACTCCTCCTGTGAAAATGTTCTCTCCGAATTGCTTCTGTTCTCCTTCCCTAATGAGCATCGGTCCATCTGTGATCGCTCAAATTCAGATTATTGAGTGGGTTATTCACAACCATCAATCCCTTGCTCTGTGGCAGGTCAGATGCCCTGGGAGATTCCTTTCTGTGGTCTTTCTTGGTAAATTCTGAAAGAGCAGCACGGCCAGCTCTTCTTGAGAATTTATATCTGCTCTCCACATCCTCCATCATTTCAGAGTCTGATGCTCATTTATCACTTTTCCAATACCCTTTGGTAAGCTCTAAATAGGTCAGGTGTCAGTTACACCACACCTCCACCCATCTCCATAAATTTATGCAGATCCTGGGGGGATGTAAGTGGAATAGGAATCTGGTTTATTTCTTTAAATACAGCCTTGTATTGTGTTGCCAGAACTTGTCTCTTCCCAGCCTCTCGCCGTATCTCCCAAGATTTCCTCGCTGCTGCTGCCAAATGCTGCGGACGCTGCCTGTGTCCTTATTTCCCTCTGTGACCCCTCCTCCCCTCCAAGCCTTTTCTTGGCTTATACCTCGTGCATTGTGCTTCTGTGTGATTTCTGCCATTGTCCTTTGGTGTTGTGGCCTCAATCCTGCCCGTAATGATCCCCAAAGTGCCTCCCCAGCCGTGAGGCTGATCCGCACCAGCCGCGCGCCGTCCCGCGCTGCGCTCCGACTCCCTGCGCTATTTAATCGTCCACGTCGTAGAATTTCCCCCCTCTCCCCTCCCAAATCTCTGCCTTCTCCTCACAGAGGCCTTTCAGGACAAAGTAAACACAAGTGGCACCATGGCTGACCCCCTCCTGCTTTATCTCCCCTCCTCTTCCTCCCCGGGCACCCGGCGCTTCCCGAGCCGGAGCGCTGGCAAAGCCTTGCCTTGGTCACACGCTTCCCAGCGCTGCAAATCCCCCTCCTGCAGAATAAAATATCAGATACTTTCCTGAAATACAGATACAGTAAACTCTGGCCATTGTTTCTGCCTTATCTATGAATCAATAATGTAGAGAAAGAATTCAAGGACGTTTTTCAGACAGGGCCTTCCTTTTTTTAGGCCGCGGTGACGTCCGCACCTTTAAATGGTTCCATAATATTCACTGCCTTTCAAATACACAGAAGAATTGATATCAGGCCTTTGTATCCGCAGTTCTTCAGATCCTTCCTTGCCTTTTATTAAAATATGGGAACGATAATCTCCATGCCTTTGGTTTCCTGATTCGGGTAAGCTGCCACAGAGCTGTGTCAGACTTTCCTGTTTCCCTTTCTGTCCCTCTGCTTTGGAGTATTAATTCACTGGATCTGATCCTGTGTCAGTTTGGTTGTTTATTGTCAATACGAAGCAATAGAAAATCCTCTGCTTTCTTCTACAATAGGAAAATACATGTTTACAAAAAAAAAGTTGCTGTGGAATAGGTATTTTATTTTCGGAGCCATTACGCTGCCTTTCCTTGTAAAATTAAGTTTTAAATGAAAATACAGACATAGGGAGAAAATAATAAAGTGATAAAAATTAATTCTTAGATGAGTATTGTGTGTGTTACAGAAGGAGAAGCTAGTCAGAGGAGTTCAGGAGTGCAGACTGTGCCTCAGCTGCATTAGAAAACTTTTTTGCATGTAGAAGATTCACAGTTATTTAATGTTAAGTATCACAGGGTGCTCAACAAGTTCATTTTTCATCTTCTCAGGGGCTTATTGGAAATAATAGAAAAATCTATTAACCACAATAAATGCAGAGTGGGACATCAGAATTGGCCGCAGATCTGTTTGCTGTGCTGGGTCTCAATAAGTGGAAAAGGAAAACAGTTGTGGAGGAGAGAATCTGCCTGGCAAGTACCAGGCTTTGTATAAAGATTTAAAATAAAGAATTACAACAGGCAGGAGTGGTCATGAAAGTATTGAAGCTTATAAATGGACTTTATATTCAGTACAAATGTAGCAGGAAGTCTTTTAAGACTGTTTCTATAGGTGTTGTACACAGGAGACATGGATTCCCTTTTTATGTACTTACCAGTTTTACATAAAATTATTAATATATATTTATAGCTCTGAGTGTGAGGGTTGTATTGGAACAAGTCTTAAAGCTTCTTTTCTCATCTCCCCTTTCAGATTGATGCATTGGGCAAAAGAAGCAAAGAAGCAGAGGCAGCCTTCTTGAATGTTTATAAGAGATTAATTGATGTTCCAGGTAAGCTAATTATTCCCTTGTTCTGAGAAACTAATGGTTCATGTTTGTGTGAATGCTATTGGGCATTTTTCCTACCTTTAATAAGGAAAATACAAGCAATGGTTTTGTTTTGGAACTGACAGACTCCTGTATTGTTTCTAATGGAGAGAACTGTAATTGTGGCACATTTCAGGACTTCTCATTGCATCTACATGTCAATGTTTCTGTTAATCAATTTATATTATTTTGATATTCTGTGATCCTCAGTATTTTGTTTGTTAGAGGGTTCAGACAATTTTAACAACAAAAAAATCATCTCAAAGTTTCACCAAGAAAAAGCAAAACTTGTAGTTTTAAAGGATAGAGAAAACTTTTCATGCCTTCCAAGAAAAACAAAAGAAAAAGCTTTACTGAAAAGTAAATCACTACCAAATTTCAGTTCTCTGCAGTGTAAGTGGGATCATAAATTTTATTCAAAGGCCTTTATTCTATGTGTTTTCAACTTCCCTTTTGTTTGGCATACCAACTTTCTTTGTTTGGCATTTGGTTTCAGTTCATTTCTTTTCACATTTTGGGAGTTGATTTTTTTTTTGTTTTCCCCAGTGGTAAATAAATAACTGCCTGAACAGATTTTTCTTTTTGCAGCTGTACCCACAGCTGACAGGGGCTGAGGAGCCCAAGTCTCTCCTGCCACATCTTGGCCTGATTGAGCTATTGGCACATGACTCTGTGTGTCATTTTATAGTTTTACAAAACATTAAAATTATATATATATAATATTCAAAATACCTCAAGAGATATTTTGAGGTGTAATTAATACTTTTAAATACTTTTAAGGTTTCATGGTACCCTGGCCTTTACTGGTTTTACCATTTAAGGAGTGCATTTCATGCATGCTTCAAATAAAAATTAATTTTTTAATGCTTTAGTTTAATGATTAACTGGTTGAAAGGTCAGTGTTTTCAGATGCTCAGTCTGAGCTAACAAATATATTTTTTAATGCTTTCCCATTCATAGTTGAGCAGTGTCCAGTGGCCATCTCTGTAGGGATGCAGGGACTCACCACACTCTTCCTGGGCCACAACTGCCTCGGGAATGTTGTTTTTAGGTTAGTCAGCTGTGCTCTGCGAGTTTTCCTTTCCTTATTTCCTGCTCAGACTCTCAGTAACGTTCTGCTGAGCACAGAACATCTCCCTTTGCCCATCTGACCATGCCATGGGAGGAGTGAATAACTCAGAGAGGGTCCCAACCATCACGAGCAGTTTGCCTGGCACGGGCAGTGTGGGCTTGGGGCGGGCACCCACAGCTCTCACTTGGAAAGAAACCCCTCCATGGAAACATTCCCAACATATCTGCAGCCTGGGAGTCCAGCAGGAGCACTGGGGAGAGGCACTGCAGCCCCTGCAGCTCCGCACTAATGCTGGCTGCAGCTTCCTGCCATCATTTGGTAGGAAGCTGAGTAGGTTTGAGTTGGAGCAGTCTGGCTTTTTTCACGGCTCAGAAGCGGTGTCAGACAAGAGCTGTGTGGGATCCTTCGTGTGCTCTTGTGCAGAGGCTCCTTGCTGCAGCCTGGCACATCACAGGTGCTGGGATCTGAGCAGCAGATCAGACCAAGCCTTGAGGAGAAGGTAGGATTTATATCCCACCCATGCTGTTGAAATGGTGAGGGATTTTGTCAGGACTTCTTTGTAGGAGAAAGAATTTTTTTCTTTTCTTTCATTTGAAGGAGCAAAATTTACAGCCCTGCTCCCACACCCCACTGCCTGTCTCTTGCCCCGCCGTCCTCTGCGCGTGCCTTATGTCACCTGTCACAGAACTATTTCTTTGATATTCTAAATATACATAAAATCTTCAGCTTGGCTGAGTTGGGAGTGCAATGGAGTCTGTGGGATGAGAAATATCTCCAGGAGTGCAGTGGAGTCTGTGGGATGAAAAATATCTCCAGGTTTTAGGCCCATGCTCTTACCTGGAGGTCTGAGGTAGAAATAAATTGCAGGTTCTCCAGAAGTCCAGTCAGTCTCCTGTAGCTGTGTGCAGGCGTAACAAATACTCACAGTTTACAACACACGCTGCAAGGAGAAGGAAAGCAGCCATTAGGAATGTATGGCACTGGTCTTTGTCACTCTGCTTCATTGTGTTGCTCTTTTTTTTTCCTTCTCATCCTGTGTAGTCTGCCAGGTTGGGCAGTGCCCATGGAGGGTTGGGTGGGTATCCATGGAGAGCTCTCCTTTATAAACAGCCATCAGTGTTCATTTATCATGTGTTGCTTTGCCTCCGTGTGGCTTTACATATCTTTTGACCTGTTCATTTGGTATTTCAAATATTTAGGTACACTTTTAGCTCCCCAATGCTGCTGTGTTTTCTTTTTGGTGTGAGAAGGGAGGATGATGTTTAGGGGAAGCTATGCCTGGAATGCTGCAGAGTGGTTATTTAGCATTAAGCATCGCTGTTACATGACAAGGGTGCAATTTTATCAGACTTTCAATATCCTTTATAGAACCATATAATAATTGCAGCTGAAGTCTAATTCCCAGCAGCCAATTTTATGGTTCTTGAGGAAAGCGTGTATTTCTCTCCTCAGTAATAATGTGCACACTTTATATAATTAAAAAGGGCTTCTATTTTAATTTTACTATAAAATGATCTGTATTGAAACTCCAGCTACAGTGCTTTATGGATTCAGCAAAGTTTAATCATTTTTTTTCCTGACCTGACCAGAGTTTTCACTCAGGCTCACCAGTAAGGAATTTGTGGGAAGGGTGGTATTTTACTTGTAAATTTTTCTATGTACATCAGGGGGTTTCTCTTTAAAAGATAAACCAGACCTTTTATATATCTCTCTCCAGCTTTATGATGCTGTTAAAATAGCATTATCATTGCTTTGTGCAGCAAAATTTATCCTTCTTAAAGGAAAGCACATGTCAAGGAAAACATATTGGTTTATGTTCATTTATACAGCTCAGATCGTTCTGTCTTGCTCGAGACTGAACATTTTTAATTAATGGAATTAATTTTCTCATTTAATTGCCTTATTTTCAGTATGCAGTACAGAGCAAGGGAAAAGCGAATCCTGCCACATGAATTGCACTAATCAACAAGGTTGTCACAACTTACCTTTAAAAATAATGTGAATATATTTATTTTGAAGTAAAGGGAGGTTGGGTCTGTGTTTTGAGGAAGCCTTCTTCCATCTGTTCAAGATTCCTTTGTCTCCAGTTTTATAAAACAAGTGTATTATGTTAACACCCTTGGCTTTTAGGGGTCTTAATCTTGCAAGCACTTAAAGTGAAATTGGAGCCTTGTTGTGTGTTTGGAGAAACGGTGTTACTTTGCAGAAGCAGTATATTCAATTTTTTTTTTCTCCTAAATCTTTAAAGGAAAAATAGTAAGCATTAAAAACACTAAATATTTTTATTTCAAAAAGGAACTTTGTTCACTACTTTTTTTTTTTTTTAAGCAAAACATCAGTGTAATTTTCAAGTAAAAGTTAAAACATGGAGACCAAGTGAATGCCAGGTGTCAGTGTCTGGATAAAGTGGTTAAATAGAGTGTTCTTTCTGCAATGGATCACTGCAATTACAGCCCAGTGCCACGCTGGATTTGCTCAGTATTTTGTCTCAGCATTGCTTCTGTGTAGGCAAAGAAGAAACAATTCTGCCTTTAAACACAAACTCTGCTCTCTGGATGTGGCACAATTAAACCCGGTTGGGTTCAGTCAGTAGAACAGGAAAAAACACAAGAGTTTTTTCAGCATATGGACATTTGAGAGTGAGGGAAGATTAATGCAAACTGTTTGCTCTTAGTTTGGAGGGGCTGTGCTGCCTTCCAGGGCTGAGCTAGAAATGGGTTTTGTTTCTCCTTAATGGGAATGAGAAAATTTGTAAGGAAACAAAACGACTCTCAGGGTGTAAAAGGGGATGTGTGTGTGGTTTTATTGAAGACTCTTCCCAGGTCTGTGCTGTGATCAGATTGGGTGCTATATAATGTGTGTGATGTGGATTTTAGCTCAGAGGATCTGCTATTGAAGGGAAATATAACAAAAAACACAGAAGGTAAAAATAAGATTTTTATTTTTTTTAATGTGCCCTGTCAGAACAATCAAAAGCAATAACAGTGAAAGATGGCTGAAGTGGAAATTTTATCTTTCCCTTGCTCCTTGCCATCATAAATTGCACACCCAGCCATAGGGGCTGTGTGTCACAAAGGGGTTTGAAGGAGGAGCAGGCTCCTTCCAAAGGAGTTTTCCACACACCCATCACTACATGTTGTATTTTAATTACACACAACCCCAGTTCAGCCTTGAAAATTCCAACTGCCCGGCATTGGGCATTCTTTTTCCAAAGAATGCTTTGCCTGAGAAAACACAAAGTTCTTTTCAAATAAATGATCAGTAAAGCACTAAATAATTGTGAAGGAATTACTTCTAAAATAATTATAAATTATTTGCAGTTCTTGCAAATAATCAGCCATTTATCAGCCTTTGCTTTTTGATTATTTACAATTCACTACCCTCTCCTTACTTACACTGCTGTTTGGGCTATGTGAAAATTTAATTTAAAGTGTATTTGATCACTGTCCTGATGTTAAAGGTGATGCAAGAGAAAATCAGGTTTGATTTTGGATTTCATTGGGGTTTCTTTTCCCCCAGAAAAATTATCTGCTGCTTATGTTGGAGGTGATAAATGTGTATGAAGTTGTTGTATTTATGTACATTTTTGGGAAAGTGTAATGTTAAGCAGAAAGGTTAATGGTAAGAAAATCTGTATAACAAAGACATTTACAGACCCAGATGACTCATGATGTGCTAAAATTTCAACCTAGGTACCCCCAGCCTTTTCTGCCTGTAGGGAGAGCTGGGTGAATGTAAATTTAGGGGATAATTAAGAAAGGTGAGGGAAAAGAAGTTCACTCAGAGGGGCTGCTTAAGCACATCCCAAAGTAGAATATGAAAAAAGAGTTTGTAAAAGTTAATACTTGGAGTACTCTTGTCTGAGATAATGGTTAATTGATTGACAAAACTG